AAGGAGGGGGCTCCCGGGGGGACTCGGGAAGGAGGCTCCCGCTGGGGGACTCGGGAAGGAGGGGGCTCCCGCGGGGGGGACTCGGGAAGGAGGGGGCTCCTGCGGGGGGGTCTCAGGAAGGAGGGGCCCCTACGGGCTGTGGCGTTCCAGGGGCCGCAGGTCACAGAAGGAGAACCACCCCGCTCAGAACTCAACTTCCAGCACCACTGGCGAACTCTACACTGTCAACATTTACAGTAACTGTTAAGTCGTAAGTAAAAGAAAAAAAGTAAAAGGGAAAGAAATGGAAGAAATGGGATGTGACATGGGAATTCCGGGTGGCCTGAGCCTTGGGTGTGAGGTCTGTCAAGTTGGGGTCTTGCTGGCTGTTCCCAAACTGTTCTCCCCCATGGCCTCTGGTGCAGAGGACCCCATGCGGAACAGGCTGCAGACCCGAATGTGCGGGAATTGTCCCTGCTCCACGGGACGGAGCAGCCAGGACCCATCCCCACTGCTGGCCCCTCCTGGATGTGCCCAAAACCCCAAAAGAATTCCAAACTCCCCTACTGCCCCAAGGCCTCCGTTTTAAAAGAAAACAAACAAACAAAAGCCTTAGCTTAACACGGCAGCTGTTCTTGCCAAATATAACACAAACTAGGAAACCTAGAGAGCTTGGAGGCAGGCTCCAGCCACAGCCCAGCCCCTCACAGTCAAGGGCCACACACATGGCCAAGCAAGGGACAAGGGCCCCTCCAGCCAGTCCCACTGTCCCAGACTGGCAAAACCAGGAGGGGAACTGGGCCCCGGCCCAAAACACCATCGGCCAGCTTGAGGCAGCCCTAGGAGCGTCAGGCCCCCTGCACAGCCTCCCGGAACCCCCAAAACACAGCATCACGCTCTAACTCAACAGGACAGAAAATCGGAGAGAGAGGCTCACCATGTGATGAGACAACACTTCTCTACCACAGATCTCCTCTGACAGGGGCTCTCCCATGAACTCCTCACCTCCCACACCCTCCTCTGACGGGGCCTCTCCCCTGCCCACCTCACCTCCCACGCCCTCCTCTGACGGGGCCTCTCCCCTGCCCACCTCACCTCCCACGCCCTCCTCTGACGGGGCCTCTCCCCTGCCCACGTCACCTCCCACGCCCTCCTCTGACGGGGCCTTGCCCCTGCCCACCTCACCTCCCACACCCTCTGACGGGGCCTCTCCCCTGCCCACCTCACCTCCCTCACCCTCCTCTGACAGGGCCTTCCAGTGCCCACCTCACCTCCCTCACCCTCCTCTGACAGGGCCTCGCCCCTGCCCACCTCACCTCCCCCACCCTCCGGGGCCTCTCCCCTGCCCACCTCACCTCCCACACCCTCCTCTGACAGGACCTCTCCCCTGCCCACCTCACCTCCCTCACCTTCCCCTGACAGGGCCTTCCCGTGCCCACCTCACCTCCCTCACCCTTCTCTGACAGGACCTCTCCCCTGCTCACCTCACCTCCCTCACCCTCCCCTGACAGGGCCTTCCCGTGCCCACCTCACCTCCCTCACCTTCCTCAGACAGGGCCTCTCCCCTGCACTCCTCATCTCCTAAGACCCTCCTGATGCTGAGCTCTCCCTGTCCCAATCTCAAAAGACCTCTTTCCAGATGTTTTTCCTGCTCAGGCCTCCACCATTCTCCAAGGGATCTACTTCATCCTCATCCCAAACGCAACCATAAACCCTGGGGAACAAGAGCTTCTTCAGTTAGTGAGCAAAGACACCAGCTCCGAACCCCGTGGCAGATGCAGCTGTCTGGACAGTGAGGAGCGGAGCAGAGGAGCTGCCACGGCCCAGCGCACGGGTGCCTGAGCATCAGCGGGATGTGGATGGCTGGGCCCAGCTGACCCAACACTGGGTGGTCCCCACGCTGGCCAGCATAGGCTGCAGACCCTGGAGCAGCCCCAGGTCTCCCAACCACACCTGTGCCCTGCAGCGAGCTGGCTGGGGCCACAGGCCAACGTCCACTGGCAGGTTCTCTGGGTTTTTTTGCAGCTCTCTGTGCTCAGGTCACATGTCCCAGGGCCAGCACCTCACTTGGGAAGTCCAGCGCATGGCCTAGCCTGAAGAGAACCCAACAGGTGTACCCGGAGCTAGGCCCAGGGCAACCCCTACTTCCTGTTCACGAACGGCTCCCCACCCCCCCACCCCCACCACTGGGCTCCACAGAGCTGCAGGAACAGAGGGGACCAGGATTCGGGGGTCCAGGGACACAGGGAAACAACTGCTGGGGGCTGAAGTGTGGGGACGGGGGCTTCCTCCACATTGACCTTTCCCCTCACAGGTGGGGCTCACGTGCCCCTCCCTGAGGCAGAAGAGGCCTTTGGAGCCCCAGGTAGATCCTGGCCACTGCCTGATGTGAGGAAGCCCAGGGTTTGCTGGGAGCTGTTGCTGGGACCTCGGTGTCCGCCATGGCTGCACCACACCACCAGAAACGGCGGGTCAGGCCCAGACACTGAAATGTCTCCTAAAACCCTGCTCCTGCGGGGCAGCTGCTGGCTTGATTGGGACAAAATTAAAATATGATTAAAATAAAATAAACCAAGAAAAAAGCGGCAGACAGGCCAGGCATGGTGGTTCATGCCTATAATCCCAGCACTTTGGGAGGCTGACATGGGTAGATCACCTCAGGTCAGGAGTTCAAGACCAGCCTGGTTAACGTGGTGAAACCCTGTCTCTACTAAAAATACAAAAACTAGCCAGGCGTGGTGATGGGCACCTATAATCCCAGCTACTTGGGAGGCTGAGGCAGGAGAATCGCTTGAAACTGGGAATTAGCCGGGTGTGGTGGCGGGCGCCTGTAGTCCCAGCTACTTGGGAGGCTGAGGCAGGAGAATGGCGTGAACCCGGGAGGCGAAGCTTGCAGTGAGCCAAGATCGCGCCACTGCACTCCAGCCTGGGCGACAGAGCAAGAGTCCGTCTCAAAAACAAACAACAACAACAACGACAACAAAAAAGTAGCAGTTTTCAAAAAGGAAAAACACCAAAACACAAGGGCAGATTCTGATTTCAGCTGTGAATGTGGCAGGTTCTGCTCCTGGCCGGTCACACACACCTAAACATTCAGTGAGGGAAACCCTGTGGATCCCTGGAGAGGAGACACGTCGGGATACACGCTGGGAGAGGATGAAGGTTCTGCAAGGATGCGGGTCTCCCCGACAGGCACACACAGCAAGACCCCACCTTGCAAACCCACCCCCGCCACTGGCCCCCACGTGCAGTTGGCATAAAGGACGGGGATGACGAGAGCACTGTGATGGGGGTGGCGCGGCAGCTTCAACTCCTAGAGGGTCCTCTTTCTCCAAGTGAGGGCTGAGTAGATGATGTCGCACATTACAGCTAAATTCATCGTATCTATTATTTCAATTTGTAAATATATGTTTTCAAAGGGGAAAAATGTGTCTCATTTGCACATCTGACCGAAGACTCTACAGAGAGAGATCTGTCAGGTCCCTGTAGAACAATGGCTTCCTCGCCACATAGGTTCTGAGCACACACACACATGCTCGCACACATGGGCACACACACTTCCTTGTAGGAAAATGGCTTCATCACATGGGTGTTAGGCAAACACACATGCACATGTGCACGCACACACAAATGCATGCACACATGCACACACACTTCCCTGTAGGACAATGGCTTCCTTGTCACATGGGTGTCAAGCACACACACGCACACATACATGCACACACACATCACTGTCCCTATGGAGGTACTTGGATGCTGGCTACAGAAACACCATTCCATGCTGGGGGCCTCACCACATGGGAGCACTGGTGGGCAGGACACAAGCCTGAGGGCACAGAGGTCCCCACCCCTCCCGGCTGCCCCAGCTCCACCACTGGCCCAGCACCTCAGCCCCCGGTCGTGCCACCCCCCAGGTTCCATGCCCCCATCCCCCTACAGAGGGCCCCCAGGCCTCCACTCTGGCCTCCCCAGCCCATCCCCAACCAACAGCCAAACACACCTGAAACAGGATTTCAGTCCCCGGCTCAGCCCTTGTTGTGTGTCTGAACACAGGAGCAGCTCCACCGTCCAGGCCACCCCACCCTGACGCTGACCTCGCCACCAGCCCCTGGAGCCAAGCCTGGCCACCATCATGCCCATGGCCACATCACCCTCCTTGCCCGCCAGACCTCCCCCATGCACCCAGTTCTCAGAGAGGCCTCTGGCGCCACTCCACAGGCACACCTGCTCGGCCACAGGCCCCAGGCAGCTCCTTCCATGAAGACCTGCGAGGGCACCCAGCCTCTCTTCACAGTGGCATCTGCAGCATCCGCACCAGAGCACGGCACAGTACCAGGCTCCATGAACACCAGCCCCTTATTAGTCAGGGGGTCTGTGCCTTGGCCTGGCAATGCCGGCCCGAAACCCTCCACACCGGTCGCCTCCCCTAGTCCAGCAGCCACTCTCTGCACAGAGCCACCCCAGCCCCTTGAAACCCTCCAACCGGTCACCTCCCGCAGCTCAGCACCCACTCTCTGCACAGAGCTGCCCCAGCCCCTTTAAACCCTCCGGGCAGGTCACCTCCCCCAGCCCCGTGCCCACTCTCTGCACAGAGCCGCCCCAGCCCTTCACGCGGCCTCGCCAACTGTCTGGCCCCCACACAGCCTTGTACTGCATGAACCAGACCTGCTGAAAAGCACACCCAGCCTCACTGCCAGCTCTCCATGGCCCCACTGGGGACGCTGACCCAGTCCTGGAGGGAGCCCCCAGGTTCTCTGAACCCTGCGGGGAGCAGGGAGGGAGCCGGAATATGAACAGTGAGCCTGAGGAGGATCTGGCCAGGCTCACCGGCAGGTAGGCAGTGGACCGACTGTGGCACAGAAATGTGTTGCCCGGCACAGGCAGTGGAGCTGAGAGACCCAGCCACAGCCTAGGCCTGCGCTCCCCATAGACACACCAGACTCCATGGAGGAACACCAAAGCGAAAAGGCACCTTACTGCTAAATAATGAATCCAAAATAACATGTTTCAGTGGTTCTTACCTGGTAAAATTCCCGAAGCCAGTTCTTCTGAAGGTTTTCCGGCTGTAAATTAAGAAGAAAAAGAAAAGTCAGACCAATGGCCCAGCCCTAAACGGAGCCCAGAGAAGCGCCTATGAAGACAAGGTGGGGCAGGAGTGGAGGTGCAGCCCAGGCCCACCTGCATAGAGGAGCTCCATCCGCGTGGGGAAACGCCAGTCCCACCAGGCGACCCAGCTCTGTATGGGGGCTCTGCTCTGAGGTCTGTCCCAGGGACATGGCACACGATGCGATCTGTCCTAGTAAAGCGCAGGCGGAGTCCTGCGGACTCCACAGGGGTGGCAAGGAGGGGAAAGCCCTGTGTTGTTCCAGCTTCCAAGCCTCCCAGGGAAGACACAGCTCAGCCAGTAACCCAGTTCCAACAAGCAAGACGGTGGCACCTTTTCACACCTGTCCCTCCCTGGGCCAAAGCCCCCTTCACGGGCACTAGACAAAGCTGAGCTTTGTGGAGTACAAAACATCATGGTCACACATTGTATTTCTGTGTGTTTGGGGCAAAGAGCAAGGTGCTTTTACAGAGTCAGTCACAACTGTCAGAATCTTCAGGAAGCACTTGCTAGAGCCATCAACAGAAAACCTACCCCATGCCACAGGCATGCACACACATGCACACACGTGCACACACGTGCACACACGCAAGGAAACTCCAGCCCCACCACAGACACCCAGGCCCCAGGAAGCTCCTGGACAGAATCGGAGGAGCCAAGCGCAAGCCTGAAAATGCCACTGCTTCAAGAGAAGGGGATGGCCCAGTCGCTCTCCCGCCCTGACAGCTCCGCTGAGCCCCAGGCCACCTGGCTGCTCCTGGGTTCTGTGCCAGCTCTGGCCGAGGGCAGCACAGCCATTCAAACCCGAGAGTGGAGAGGCCGCCGCGGACGAGGTTGCGAGCAAGCACTCAGCGTGAGCCGCCCACGCTCAGGAAGCGCCCCAGCTCCAACATCACCCACGTGGAGGGACCGTGGAGGGACGGAGTCAGCGTCTAAAAGGGTAGAGTTTCCATTTTGTGAGATAACAAAGTTCTAGAGATCCATTAAACAACAATGTGAATGTACTTAGCACTAAGGAACTGTACACTCGGAAACGGTTAAGGTGGTAAATGTTGTGGGGTTTTGCCGTGATTGAAAACAATAAACAAGGCCCTGCCCCAGCCCTCATCAGGACGAAAGCCCCTGCCCTGGTCTCAGCCTCTATGGCCGTGGGCACGGGGCCAAGGCATGCAGGCCGCCAGCGCAGCTGGGCCCAGACTCCGCACCATGCACACGAAGCAGCATCACTAGGCTGGCCACATGCCAGGCGTGCTCCTCCCTTCACTTGCTGACGGGTCTAAGAAGCCTAACAAGCAGGAAGGCTGAATTTTAGATAAATTAATGAAGGAAAAAAGAACCTGACCAAGAAACAAGAGCCTCACAGACCACAGGACTGAGCTGAGAACACCGTGGCCCCAGGCTTCAAAGACACACAACCCCGGCACACGCACACACAAAGGGAGAGAATCACCCACTGCGGCTCCGAGGGCCCCCATGCCCTGCCCTCCATGTCCAGGGACGTCCTTGTGGGACCCACGCAACCGCTCCAGCAGGAGGGGAGGCCATCAGCCCACGCCACTGTCCCGCTACTGAGGACCCAGCAGGAGGGGAGGCCATCGGCCCACGCCACTGTCCTGTGGTAAAATGTTGTGGGTTTTGCCGTGATTGAAAACAATAAACAAGGCCCTGCCCCAGCCCTCATCAGGACGAAAGCCCTCTGCCCTGGTCTCAGCCTCATGGACATGGCACGGGCCAAGGCATGCAGGCCGCCAGCGCAGCTGGCCCAGACTCGCACCATGCACACGAGAAGCATCACTAGGCTGGCCACATGCCAGGCGTGCTCCTCCCTTCACTTGCTGGATTGGTCTACAGAAGCCTAACAAGCAGGAAGGCTGAATTTTAGATAAATTAATGAAGGAAAAAGAACTCACCAAGAAACAAGAGCCTCACAGACCACAGGACTGAGCTGAGAACACCGTGGCCCCAGGCTTCAAAGACACACAACCTCACACGCACACACAAAGGAGAGAATCACCACTGCAGCCCGAGGGCCCCCTGCCCCGCCCTCCATGTCCAGGACGTCCTTGTGGGACCTTAATGAACCGGGCTTCCAGCAGGAGGAGGCCACCAGCCCACGCCACTGTCCCGCTACTGAGGACCCAGCAGGAGGGGAGGCCATCGGCCCACGCCACTGTCCCGCCACTGAGGACCCAGCAGGAGGGGAGGCCATCGGCCCACGCCACTGTCCCGCCCACTGAGGACCCAGCAGGAGTGGGAGGCCATCGCTCCACGCCACTGTCCCGCCACTGAGGTGACCCAGCAGGGAGGGGGAGGCCATCGCCCACGCCACTGTCCCGCCACTGAGGACCCAGCAGGAGGGGAGGCCATCAGCCCACGCCACTGTCCCGCCACTGAGGACCCTCAGCCCACACGGACAGCCTCCATTGGCCCCAGCTCCTACCAGCAAGTCCCCATCAAGGGTCCCACCCCATATCCAGCTGCAGCTGCTTGCCAGGCAGCCCTGTCCAGGAGCCGCCCTAAACACCAAAGACAAATGTGACAGTGGACACCCGGACACACCGCTCACTGTGTGCACCTCGCCCAGCACCACACACTCCAGCCCGATTCATGGGTCACGACCTCATTTCAATCATGGATATGACTTCCCCAAACACTGACTGTGGATCCACTGAGGTCAGTAAGCCCAGATGGTCCTAATACAGTGCTCTAAACAAAGACATCCGTGTTTGCTGACTGTTTACGAGGAGGCACTCAAAGGCTGTGAAATAATTAGACCAAAAGTCTAAATGAAAGATGAGACCAAAAACACTCCAAAGAAGGAAGAGAAGAAACGTGAAAAAAAGACGAGGCCCTCAAGGCCTTCAGTTCTTGTCTCTGGCACACACCCCAACACTAGTCAGGGTCACTGTGACAGCCGCGGTGACCTTGGGGCCCTGCCCAGGGGCCAATTTCTGGCCCACACGGCGCTGCTGCGTCTCCCTGGCTGACCCTGGTTTGGAAGCTCCCAGGGCCTCCTGGGCCGCATCCCACTGTCCCACCAGCCTCCCTTGGCCTCAGTGCCACTGTGTCACTTCCGGGGCATCCCCCAGGGGATCCACGCCTTCCCCATCCCCCCCATCCCTAGCCCCTTCTACCTCCCTCCTCGGGGATCCACACCCTCCCAGTCCCCATTCTGTCCCCAGCCCCTTCCCTCGGCTCTCCTGGCGAATCCACACCCTCCCTATCCCCAGCCCCTTCCCCCTCCCTCCTGGCAGATCCATACCCTCCCCATACACCCTCCCCATCCCCTTCCCCTTTCCTGCTCCCTCTTAGGGGATTCACTCCTCCCCATCTCTAGCCCCTTCCCTGCCCCCTCCTAGGGGATCCACCCCTACCTGTCCCTAGACCCTTCACCTCCTCTCCCTCTTAGCAGATCTACCCACTCCTTGTCCCTAGCCCCTTCCCCACTCCCTCCTGATGGATCCACTTCTTTCCCATCCCCAGTCCCTTCCCACTCCCTCCTCAGGGTTCTCCCTGCCGTGTCCTTACCTGCTTCCAGTCTATACTCTACAGGCAGCCAGGGTGATCCTCAGAAAACACAAGTGGATCCACCCTCCAGGGCCCTCCTGCTGTCTCAGGGTAAAGGGCAAAGGCCTTCCAGGTCGGCACAGCCACCAGGCCCTGAGCCCACGGCCTCCCTGCCCTCCCCTCCACCTGCTCTACTCTGGGTCTCAGACATTTGGTCCTCTGGCCCCAGGGCCCTTGCAGTTTCTCTTTACAGACTGGCAACGGCCCCTATGCCTTCACTGCTCACAGGTCCGGTCAAATACCGTCTTCTCTATCAGTTCAATTTTCCCTGGGTCACTGAGCTTCCCCAGGCCAACAAGTAACCCCTAATCCCAGCGTTTTCCCATCCTGAGCAGTGAGGCTGCATCATGTCCCTTCCTTGTCTTCCCTTCATCTGGGAAAAGGACATTTCACTCTGCAGCCCCACATACCCACAGTGTGCAAGTGGGATAACTTGAAGAGTTGATATAACAAGCAAACCTTTTCACCACTATCGAGCTCTGGGCAAACACACCACAAGAAAGCTTAAGACACCCTCTTCCCCCCAAACCCCACCAAATAACAAACGGGGGGAAGAGGAAGAGAAGGATGCTCCAGGGGCAACAAAGCAGGGTCTGACAGCATCCTCGCTCCTGAACGCATCAGTCACAGGAAGGGAGGATGTTTCCAGGGCGGGACGGAGAGGGGACCCCGACGGCGCGGGGCGGGATAGAGAAGCAGCAAGAACCTGCGCGTCCTGATAAAGGGACTCAGAAAACAAGACTGGAAATGTATCCAGAAACAAATACCAGAACAAAAGCATCCCTGAAAAGGAGAGAAAACTGACCAAGTCCAAAAAGAGAGTAGGAGTCTTTATTTAAAAACACGCGAAAGGCTGGGAGTGGTGGCTCACACCTGTAACACTACTAGCACTTTGGGAGGCCGAGATGGACGGATCACAAGGTCAGGAGATCAAGACCATCCTGGCTACCACCGTGAAACCCCGTCTCTACTAAAAAAAAAAAAAAAAATACAAAAAAATTAGCTGGGCCTGGTGGTGGGCACCTGTAGTCCCAGCTACTCGGGAGGCTGAGGCCAGAGAATGGCATGAACCAGGGAGGTGGAGCTTGCAGTGAGCCAAGATCATGCTACCGCACTCCAGCCTGTGTGACAGAGTGAGACTCCGTCTTAAAAAAAGAAAAAAAAAGAAGAAAAAAAAACAGGTGAGAAACATCAGCAGCAAAACCCGAACACTGAAAACCAGAATTCCCGAGGTGCCGGGCAGAACTCAGGTGACACAGCAGAGCCCAGAACTCAGAAAGGAAAGACCACGGTGACCCACAGTGTGTCCACACAGTACAGAACCCAGGGCTGAAAACGGAGGCAGGGAAAGTGGGACAGAGTGTTTCTGTTACAAACTGACAAAACACAAGTAATAGAATGTATTAAATCAGCAGGTGGGGCCCGGAGCTGAGAGGCTGCCTAAGAATCCGGATACCTTCCAAAGCAGAGCATTCCTAAATGTGTTCTAAAATTAAGATGTATTCTTAAACTCTACATTCTTCAAGTTGAGAAAAGTTTTCTTATCCTTAGAGGAATTGTAGAAATTTATCTCTTGCACCAATAAATATTTATCTCAAATTCAGAAGTTCCTTGAGTTTCACTTCAGTGTCTGTTTCTCCTGACAATTTGAGCAGGATTAAATTTAACTGGTGAAGCACAGCCTGTCCTCCTTGCTGGAGCTCTGCAGACTAGGACATTCATCCCACATGGACAAGGGTTCTTTCTGGGCAGTGGGAGCTGGAGTGATCTGTACTTTTCTATAGTGCATATTCTTAAGGGAAGGGGGAACAGACCATACAAAATGATTCCATTTCAGTGGGAAGTACTAAAAAAACTGAGCTGATCCTTAGTGTGTTTGCTCTACCGCCCCTAACAGAGAACACCTGCAGGAGAGACCAAGCGGACAGAGGCAGCCTGGCCCACAGCTGCCCCCAGAAGGCCCAACTCTTCCCATTTGTTGCTTTGGAATGCAGAGACGTCAGCAGGAGAGATTGAGGCATTTCACGCTGCTGAGGGAAGAGGCAATAATTGACAAGGAATACTAGGACTAGTTAAATATTTACTTTTAAAATGCTATATTAGATCCTTTCTTTATTCCACAAAGAAATTAAACTCCAGATGGATTCAGGAGATGAACATAAGACTTGAAACCACAAAGGAATCAGGAGAGAAAATAAGCAAATAGCTGCCGTCGTGGGAGAAAAAGAGCTTTTCTAGACGCAAAAGGAAAGAAAGGACCTCTGAGAGAGAATGTGCCTATAGATTACCACCCACAGTGAACACACTCAATACTGGATGACAGAAAGCTTTCCCTCTAAGAGTAGGAATGAGACCAGGATGCCCGCGCTCATCACTGCCATTCAACACTGCACTGGGAGGCCTAGCCTGGCCGATTAGGCAAGAAAATGAAAGAAAAGGTACCCGAATGGGAACAGAAGAAGTAAAATTATCTCTGTTCACAGACTACATGCTCTTATGCATACAAAACCCTAAAAATTCCACCAAAAAATTGATAGAAATAAGGCCAGGCGTGGTGGCTCACACCTGCAATCCCAGCACTTTGGGAGGCTGAGGCAGGTGGATCAGCTGAGGTTAGTTGTTCAAGATCAGCCTGGCCAACATGACAAAACCCAGTCTCTACTAAAAATGCAAAAAATTAGCCAGGTGTGGTGGTGCACGCCTGTGGTCCCAGCTACTTGGGAGGCTGAGGAGTAGAATCGCCTGAATCCGGAGGCAGAGGTTGCAGTGAGCCGAGATCGTGCCACTGCACTCCAGTGTGGGTGACAGAGTGAGACTCCATCACAAAAATTCAGCAGTTCAGCAACGTGGCAGGATATAAGATCAACACACAAACAACAGTGGTGTTTCTATACACTAACAATGAACAATCTGAAAAGAAATTTTTTAAAAATTGCATTTATGACAGCATCAAAAAGAATAAAA